GGTTAAAATAATTATTCTGAAAGGTTTAATCAGAAGAGCAGCCTCCTGAAATGGTAACCCTCAAATTTCCTCTCCAAGAAAAGAGACACATGTCCTTTAATTCAGTGTGTTTCTTTCTTTGGCAATTCCTCTCAGTATTTTCAGGTTCCTTACCATGCTGATGCTGATCTGTGTGTATGTAAATCACCAACACAACAATCGATCTGTTGTTTTAAAACAGAGACTTATAACAGAGATATTCAGTCAATCTGTGTTACAGACTACACAAGGAAGTATCTCCTTCTTTTTGAAACCTACTTAAGATATAACTATTAAACTAACTAACTACTAACCTACTAAAGATAAACATATAGCTTACTAAAGTCTAACTTGACAAGAGGCTCCACATTCCTCATTTACGTACAGATGGCTGCTGCTCTTCTGATATAACTTTAAAATAACCACTTTTATCTCTTAATGTTTGACTTTAATCTACTACATTAAGACTTTCTTCTCTTATGACTTATTTCATAAAGATTTACACAATTATTCTCCAAAATGCATCACTTTAATCACAAAATCTCTGATCCCCCCCCCCCCCCCCCCCCCCCACTGGCCCTAATAATCCTTTGTAATAATGTATTTGATATATAATTGACTATAAAAAATAAAATACAGAAATATTTCTCTCTGCATCAGAAAGTCTCTACTGATGTTGTTGTGTTTTTTCCTTGAGGCAACAGATTGAGTTAAAGATCATTGGCAGGTCACTTGATCCAGGGGTCAAGTTAGAGGCTACGGGCAAGGAGGGACAAAAACCAGTGGAGCGTCTGAAGGAAATCCTGTTTCAGAACACACAAGAAACACACCACAGTCTTTTCATCCTTCATCAGGTGATGACAAGAGGATGCCGGTTTTTCCCTCAGCAAGGACAAAATACTGCAGCAGCCTTGTCATTATCATGATGAAAAAACACTGAACAGTTTGTTTATGCTCCTCTTGTTGTGCAAGATAAAGATGGATTATGTTATAACTATTTGATCTATGATGCCGAGGGCCCGAAGACGGATGTTAATGCTTTAACACACTGCATGTCAAATGATTATAGGGGATTTCATGTAGACCAGGAGGGGCTGAAAGTAAACAAGGTCTACAAGCTCAAATCAGAAGGAGATTTTAGACAAGAATATTTACTCCACTCTGAACTTGTGTTATCACTGTAACTAATTACAGAGCCCAAGACTCTTATGTCATCCTCCTCTTCTTATCATGCTCTGATGTGGTGTCCTCATGCTGCTGCAAACAGATCGTCTGTCCTGTTAGATTTCTGAAAAAGATGAACAGTCACCAAAGTTATAAATGAAAGTTAGTTTTGAGTTAATAACTTAAAATAGCCTTAAATTAAAACTAAATAAGCTTCAGAGATAAACTCCAGCTTAGATCTCTGATTATTCTTCTTCTATGGTTTTCTTTCTTTTTCTTTTTATTATTAGTTGTGTTTTTTTCGTCTGTTTTTTAGTCTGAAAAAGTTTGTTTTTAAACCTTTTTATAACAGTCAGACTTTGATTATAAATAAAGATACACTTATAATTATATTATATATATTATATTATATTATATTATATTATATTATATATATTATACTTATTATTATACTTATAATTGTAGCAGCCAGACTTTGATTATAAATAAAGGTGGGTGAAAACCAAAGGGCTTTCAGCTGCAGTCTTTTAACATGTTGGGTCCCTGGACCTTTAGAAAGTACATATCACCCAGGAGGGTCTTTTTTATCTGTTAAATGAACATGAACACACACATAGGCTGAAATACACACACATGCACAAACAGGATCCTCTGGACATTAATGGAGAGGTCTCAGAGTGAGGGGGCTGCCCACAGCGAGCGCTCCAGAGCAGTGTTTTGCCTCATCCAATGACAGCTGGAATTGGCTATAGCCCCCTGCAACCCCGAACAGTATAAGCATTGGATGTTTCAAGGTAATCAGTACCGTGCCTAAGCTTCACCACTGAAGCCCGGGGCCCGTATTCAATTTAGCTTAAAGAAATCCTAGCCAAAAAAAATCCTACCAATGATTTTTAGCCTACAGCTGATCTGAGAACATTCTCAGAGCAACTCTGAGCAAGGAAGAGACAGAAACTTGTATCTTAGTGAGGAGGTGTGGTTGACCCCGGTGCTAGGTATGACACATTTTTTCAGAAGCTGTGATTGGTTAATCAAAGAAATTGAGAAAAAAAGTCAATCAAAGAATCTAGTCAGATGATCTTTAAAAGTATAGCCTACAAGATGTCAGCCCCTTTAACATGCTGATACATGCAGTTTGTACACGTTAATGATAAGTTCTCACCAAAGTTAGCCATGGAGTCCAACAAGGGTCAGAGCTTGGAACACTTATCTTATCTTATCTTCCTCAAGGTAATATTATGAGGAAACCTTCTACTGTACATACCAATCAGTTAGGCAGACACCCTTTTAACCTTAGGTAGGCTTGAAACGGACTGGTAAAACATCTGCAGCAGCTTCTTACAGATGTTGAAGGACCCCAGCCTTCTCAGGAAGTACAGACGGCTCTGTCCCTTCCTGCAGAAGGTGTCCATGTTTGATGACCAGTCCAGCCTGTCGTCCAACTGCAGCCCCAGGTACCCGTAGGTCCTACCACCTCCACGTCGACCCCCGATGGAAAAAGGTTGGGGATGTGGCTTGTTCCTTCGGAAGTCCACCACCATCTCCTTGGTCTTGGTTCAGCTGCAGATGGTTTGAACAATAATAAGATAATAATAAGACAATAACAATAATAAGCAGGCACATGACACACATCCCATATTTTTTTTATTTTTTTTTATTTAACATTTTTATAAAATAGTTGTTCACCCAAAAGCCTATCATTCTCACAAGTCCTTACAAGTAATAAACATAGCAAAATCTTTTTCAGCACGATAACCCAGAAGAGACTCACTTTTCTCTTTTTCCTGATGTGATCTTTAATCACCATGAACCTCATTCAAGCGGAGGGCCATTTGGAGTATAGACACTGCAGCATTCTTTTGTGAAAATATCAGCCAGTTTCTCAAATATTTCAAAACCTTCTATTTTTTTAGCCACCTTTAATGTCAGAGAAGAAAGTCCAAATGGACCTGTATGCAAAACTTTTACTTTTTTTAAAAACACAGGTGCACTGTCTGTCATGACTTGCTTTTGTATTTGAGTTTCCCTGTTTTATCGCAGTGTTGCTTGTTTCCCTTGTGTGTTAATATTCCCTAGTGTTGCTGGTTTTTCCCTTGTGTGTTTCCTAGTTTTGTCTTCAGTGTTTTCTGTTTTATTTTGTCATTTATTATCCTCGTGTATCTCTGTGTTCTAGTGTGTTTTTGTTTCATTCTTGAGTTCTGTGTGTCTTTAGTGTTTCATGATTTAGTTTGTAGTTGTCCTCAGTGTTTCTTGTATTCCTGCCTCTATGTGTTTCCCAGTGTGATTGTCCTCACCTGTGTCTTGTTAGTCTCACCTGTGTCTGATTACCCTATGTCTATTTAGTCTCTGTGTTTCTTCTTCTCTGTGTCAGTTCATTGTATGTTGTTGTATGTTGTTTGTTGGTATGTCAGTTTTTGCTCTTCCTCCTCTGTGGCTCCCTGTTTTTGATCCCTGTGTTTTTTGTTAAACTTTTGAAGTAAGTTTTCGTTTGGTTTTTTGTTAAAATAAATAGTTTAGTTAATTCTGCACTTTGGTCCACACCTCCTTGTTTTCCAATTGTGACACTGTCTTCTTTTGCTACTCCCTCATGCATCATTATGGACATTTTTGGCCATTTGGACAAATTTGTCCTCTTGATCTGGCCATCATTTTGGCTGTGTTAGTGCATATGGCACATTTTTTTTGTAAGAAAGTCTCTCTCTTGGCAATTTTTTTTGTATTGCAAATTACAATTTTTCTAGTAGATCCAAAGAACACTGAAAAAAATGTGCTACCCTCTTAAGTCATTGAGGACAAAATCTCAACTTCCAAAAAATTGCTATAAAAAAGTACAGATTAATATTTTAATTAATATACAAACACTCAATCATTTTGAGGATTTGAACCCTTTAAATGCCAGTTTGACAACATGATTCTGGCATTTAAAGGGTTAAAATCCTGATAATTATTCAATATTTGGTAGTTTTGAGCAGGGCTCAAGTTGTTCAAGAGATTTATGCAGAAAAAATCAGAAAAGAATATGAATCTGTACTTCTTTATAGCAGTTTTTTGGAAGTGGACAAGAGGGTGGTGAGGGTTAAAACTCTTTCAATCAGAGGAGGATTTGCCTTTAACAGTTTTTATAGGAATGTCTTTGGAGTTTCTACTTTGAACAATTTTCCCAACTTGTGTAAACTTATTGCATTCTTCAAACTATGAAACCTTGGGTACTCTAACATTCTGATTATTACTGTCAGACATAAATATAGCTTATTTATTGAAGAGAAGTGTCATAAATAAAGAAGATAACTCAAAGCCATTTACAGTGAAAAGTAAAACTCAGAACAAATGCACAACTTAAAACACAATGATTTTCTATGTGAATTAAAAATGTTTATTTGTATCATATGCCTAAAGGAATCATATTTAAGTGCATCCAACAAGTATAATGAAGCTGTATTCTTATGTAACCAAATAAAAAAAAAAGTACTCTTTCAAAACAAATGTCTGTGCTGCCCTTCCCCCTGATTTTCTGCTCGCCTGAACTTATCTGGCGAGTTGCCCTACTCTGACCTCCAACATGCTTCACCCTGCCCCCCACTCAAACAGGGACTGGGTAAAGAGGGTGAAACATGTCCTGGGTATGAGAGGTGGAATGCATGTGCTGAGTGGAGACGTTGGAAAGTGGTGGGGGCTGATAAGCCTGGTGGGTGGAGAGAGAGAGAGAGTTGGATGGATGGAGGGAGGTTAAGAAAAGAAACAGCAGTGTGGAGGCAGAGGAGGGGGGGGGGGGGGGGGGGGGTTAAAAAAGGGAGGGTGGACAGTTTGACATACTTAGGACAAAGACCAATGTGAGACAACTTTGATTCAGGCACTTCTGAGGTACAAGCTCTAGACTGTTACTATCTCATCACCTTGCTTGGAAAGGTTTTCCTCACAGCACAACTTCACATGTGTGAAAGAAAAGAGAAGAAGAAGAACTCTACCACAACCAGGTCCACTGACAACTCTGAAGAGACAAAGCAACAGGAGACCAGAGCTGCAGGAAGCCAACATACTGCAACTAAAGAACCTCCAGATTCTCAACAAAAGGGAGGGAGGTGTGAATAACCCTGTTTCAAGAGAAGTAATAGTTTGTGTAAGTTTAGGAACTTGACTGAGGTTCTTGGGGAAAAAGTGAACAAAGCATCTGGAACGATCTGGAGGAGTGACAGCAAGAAGTGCACCCTGCCCCTTACCACAATGTGAGTACAAGTGCAGCTGCTTCTGTCATCTGTAAATTATTATGTAACCATTGAAATGTCCTAATATAACATTTCAAATGGAGGAGCAGAAATAAACCTTATTAACTGCTGAGGTTAAGTCTAAACTAAGACAATCAATTATGAGATGTACAAGCTGCCTACTTAAGACTATCATATAACTATATTGCATTATATTTCCAGATTTAGAATTCCTTTATTTGGGTCAAACAATGGAATGACATCTTATTCAGAGAAATGCATCTCAAACAATACTAAGAAGTGAAACGGGCGGAACGTCTAAATGTGTTTTCAGTAAGGGTCACAATGACGCCGTCACAAACATGGGTGCACACACTTTCCTGCAAGTCCTTCCTGTATGACCTTCAACTTCCAAAATAGCAATTGGGACAACAATGGGAGAAAGACGCGTAAAAAAACACGTGCTAAACCAGCCAAGTAGCTTGAGAATAACAGTAACAGTGTGAAACAGCCGGGACATTTCAGTTTCAAATGAACATTTGTCCATACAACATACCCAATCATTAGAGGAGTGTTTATGCACAGAGATGTTACACCTACTTGAATTCTGATCAGAACATAAAAGGATGAAACTGATTAAAGGGCTTTAGGATTGGTTGTTGACTAAATGAAACTGTTGCAATTCAAAGCAGCAGCTTGTGAAATAATCACATGTGACTCTTAATAATTGTTTTATTATAAGACCTCCTATAATATCTGTTGGAAACTTTGCATGAGTCCCTGGTTCAATAGATTCCAAACATGTATTAGATGTTTTTCAGAAGTGATGCTAATAATGGAATAGTTACTTTTTGCACAATGTTTCCCGATTCACAATTCCTGAAGTAAAAAAAATGTTGTTCACAGACATGTTGTGAAATGATTGGAGGAATGTGATTGACATGGATCAGTCACATAAAAGTACCAAAGCTCTCATCAGAGAGAATTTCTTCTACATTTTCTTTGTGCTGTTGATTGGCAGTTCAACAGATGTTTACTGTCTGGCTGTATATGAAGTGATGATAAACATAAAGCATGATACAAATATCCCAGTGTGAGATAATACTGTACATTATTCATTTTTCCTCCAACACGACGAGCACTTTAGTAAAAGGGACCAAGCATGTGTTGTTGTGGTAGAAGGACACAAGCTGTGCTGTAAATGTAATATTTTTAAGTTGAAACATTAAGTTTCCATTAGTTCATTTGTTTAATATCAACATGTGAGGCAGTTTTGTATTTTCTCAAACTTTTGCTCCATATAAATAATTGTCTTCATCTTTACAGGCTGTGACAACAGAATCAATGTGCAGAATAACACCAATTTATACAAGTTAAACACAGGTTTTTTAAATTGGAGAGGGTTGTAAATCAGGGAAAGAGAGCAGGGGATGATGAGCCACAGGTTGCATTTGAACCTGGACTGCCCACTTGGAGGACTACAGCCTCCATGTCAGGGGCACGATCTCTAACCACTGAGCCACCAGCGCCCCAAGTTAAACACACTTTGAGGCCAGCTGGATTTCATGCCACAATTAACAATGTGGAGCCTTTTCATTTCAGCTAATTATCTCTCTGATTGTATCAGCTCACAGATAGCATCACAAAAGGCTAGTTTCCATTTTCCTGACAAACATAATCTCATGATCTCTTCATGAACCCAGGGTTGCTTGAGCTTTAAAACTTGATCTTTAATCATGACACTTGAAAAGTATTGTGTAACCATGGCATGAGACTAATGTCTTTAGAGACAAACATCAATTATCAAAATGTTATTACAGCAGCATGAGAAATATATTTTCCATCTAAACCCACGTCTTGAGTTGATTTTGTAATTTTTTCATTCGACAGTTCACCATGAGTATGGCTGGTACCCTAGAAAACGGGGCTCACCACCAGGCCTTGGACCTGTCTGAAGAACTGCCTCCTCATCACCACCATCATCATCTCCTCCACTCTAACTCCTTGGCCTCCACGGTTGCTGTGGGAGGAGGAAGAGAAACACCTTCCCGTGTGGTCATACCGCCTCCTTATTCTGCAGCCGACAGTGAAGCCCCTCTAGAGCTGCGGGGTTCCCTGGACTGCTGGGCCTGCTCGGTGCTAGTGACAGCTCAGAACCTGATTATAGCAGCGATCAACGCCTGCCTTGCAGCTCTGGTGTTCGGGACCATCCTAACGCCGGCACTCATCATGGTGGTGTTCGGCTTCCTCTGCCACTCTACAGTAAGGACCCTAACCCTCGAGCCCGGGTCAATGGGTGTCAGCATGTCAATCATGTACCCACCTATGGCAGTTTACCATTAGCCAAGACTTCTTTTTAGGAGAAAATAACCCTGTTAGGGTTGTTAGGGTTACGATGGTTGATCTGATATTCACATTCACAAGTTTATCTAACGCTATTGGTATCCTGGGACTTGGTGCAGAATGAGCACCTTGATCTTGCTGCTTTCTAGTGTGACCGCGCCCTCAGAATAACTTAACAAGACATTTGAAACCTTTCAACAGTGTTAGTTAAGACACATGAATGCAAACATGAGTAAACAGTTTGCATGTTTCTATCTCTCTGTTCATGAGGAGAACAGAGAGATGGAAACATCAATGGTTTTATCTTAAAGTCCTAATCTCATAACTTTGATCCCAAAGTTTCAAATAGTTTCGTCTGAGGCTTTAGGATATTGTTTGGCTCCATCAGTGATGAGAGGCTTTCTAAACAGATAAGCTCGAGGGTTTGTCAGATGTTGAGGAGATGAAGGAAAGTTGAATGAGGAGTGTAAGGAGCCAGACGTCAGAGCACAGAAGGATCGCTTTGAGGTGAACCAGGGAGAAGAAGACACTCTGTAAAAAGATTACATATGCAAAGAATGAGAACATAACAAAATGAAAGACTAAAAAGTGAATAACTTGACAGTAAGCATCATTGTAGGCGACCCAAGTCATCATGGTTCAGAGACTTTCTTTTTATACCAATGGACTTAACGTGGGTGGACTTCTTAAAGAGTAAGCAGGATTCTCTCTGTTCTCCTGCTCTCTCACAATCAGACCTCATGTGACACCAGCTTAGAGAGGGATTAACAACGACCTGGAGGGTTATAGAGACTGGGAAAAACCTTTTTATTTTAATGGCTAAGAAAACAAGTACAAAAAGGCAGTTGAGTTACGTATTTAACTTCAGTTTCTTAAGTTAAATATTCTGCCAACACACCCAAAACAATATTCCATGTTAACAAAAAGAAACATTTCTATCTTATCATATCAGGACAGGATCATAACACGGCTGGTGTCAAAGTATCATTTATCAAGAGATGACACATTTCAAAACCTTTCAGTAATTTTGATGATAAATGATATAATCTAAAGTATAGAATTACACTAAAAAGCAAATTAATCAAAGTATTTTGCCTTATTGAGTTTTATGCCAAACATGTAAACACATCTCTTTAAAATGTTGGCCCTTTATGCTCTTCACTAGAAATGCTCCCCTGAGCTCCCACATCACTCCAAAACATCACTTAAAGGCTTTATATGCGTTTTTTTCATCTAGCAGATGTCGCCCTTGAGCACCAGCATGAAACCAAAACAACTTGCGCTGCATTGTTGTGTTAGCATGCTAATGCTAGCGATCTTTATTATGCTCGTATCTTCACACTGCATATAAATTTACCTGAAATGAGCGTGATCTAGAAACACAGTTAAGCAGTGAGTACAGTATGTTATTCTTCTTTTCTCTAGTCCCTCAATTAAACAACTTTTATACACGAGGGGAGGAGTCAGCCGGCCGTCCGGGCGATGTAAACAAACTGAAGATAGGACTCTGAAAACTCTAAAAACATCACAGACAGTGGGACTCGGGTGTTACACCCATTGTAGACAGTCATGACTCACAGAGTTATTTTCAGAGGATATACTTGATTTCTGCTACATTTAAGTGTGAAAAATTACATATGAAGCCTTTAAATGCACTTTTCTTATGTTCACTTCACCCTTCTTGGGTGATGAGGATTGATTCAGGACGGCTGTGCTGAACTCCTTCATTTGTTCCTCTTCCTCCTGTCACAGTTGAGCTTTAACATATTGACCAATATGTCTGACATTGTCACTGTGTACATACACCATCTTTGTCCTCTCATTGCTCTTCAGGTCCGCCCTCATGGGACCACCCCCTACTGTTCAGACCTGCTGACTGATGGAGGCTGTGTAGCTCTTCTGGTGGTGGGCTTCCTCTTGGTCACCCCTCTCCTGGTTCTGGCTCTGGCTGCATATTGTCGCCTGGCCCGTCATCTCCAGCTAGGCCTGTGCTTCATCCCGTACAGTCGGGCCGTGTACAAAAACCTGCCGGCGACCCTTCACCGGGGTCTGGGTACTGGCTGCTGCGGCGGCGGCAGAGACGGAGCTGATGGTGGGGGGAAAGGAAAAGTCTGGGTGTGAGAGAAGGGGTGAGCTGAGATACAACAGAAGAATATAAAAGTAACACTGAACAGTGAGATGTTCTCTTCTCCCAATGATGGAGGGGATGGTAAGATAGAATGTATGGAACAACAAAATGTATAACAGAGAGGATGGGGGGGAGGGGCGGGGGTAAAGGGCAATAACAGTAACAAAATACATCAAATCCAGTTACAATGTTAAGTCTTACTCACAACACTGAGATATCATTATTGAATAGTTTGTTACTTAAAGTTGAAAGGGCCTAGTGACACAGAGTTTATATGATTGTAAATGGGTTATTCTAACTGGATTACATGCAGAGGGTAAAAACCATCACTGAAGTAAGAGATGGTTTGACAATACTAAAGTATGTTTGATAATCAGACTGATGAGGTGAAAAAGAAAGTTTCTACCCAGACCTCAATATAACTTTAACTTTTCTGAATAAACATTCACATAGCACATCTAAAAAACAATTATATCTACCTTATTTTCACATTTATATTATTTTTAAAACATATTTGTAAATTCAATTCATGTTCAGTTGTTGCAAAAAGTCATTCCAATTTTTCTTATTCATTCATTTTATGAATAAAGTTTTTATATTCAGCTTGAGTTGTGTCCGTGTTGTCCAGCATGAATCAGAAAAGGAAATAATGATTTAATTTAAAAAGCAAACAAACAGCAACAAAATGAATGCATGCACAGAAAGAGCAAAAACACCAGAGTTACAGCTTATGATGTTCCCCATTGCTTTTACATTATCATTCTAAAGGAATACAAAATCACTGCAAAAGCTTAATCCTACTTTATCAGATAATAAGAAAAAAAGACAAATACTGTTTCTGTTTCTCATTACAGAGTTCACACTGTTTTTTTTACAAAATCCAGTTATACCAACCAGCTCTGGAACTCCACATCTTCACAGCATCTGAAGGATGAAAACATAACCAAATATAATTATTATTCAACTGTTAATGATAATAATTGCTTTCTGAAGACAATCACCTCCTGCATGTGAGATCTTACAGGAACTGCTCATAGAGACCTGCAAGCAAATGTTGGATTTTCTGGATGGAAATGTAACACCTTAAAAGTTGAAATCATTTTTAAGTTACAACTCTACAACTCTTAAAAGACTCAATAAGACGTATGAGAGGTCAGAGGGGTGTGTGCTTGTGTGTATTGCAGGATCACACACAGTTTGGATAAAATCATTTGTACTTTCTTTAATGTTGCAAAATACTGGCGAAATGTGATAATCTTTTTTTGATTTGATTTTGAAATCCTTTATTAATCCCTGAGCGGAAATTCAGGTTTACACTCTGTTATTTATAGGGACATGCTTCTCACACACAATGGGTCCATATCACACGTATGCACAAACAGGTCCTGTGGACATACATTGGTGGAGAGATGTCAGAGTGTGGCTGCTACACACTGCTACACAGAGAGCACACCAGAGCAGTTGGGGGTTCAGTGCCTTGCTCAAGAGCACCTCAGCAGTGCTCAGGAAGTGTGACTATAGTGCGTACCGGGACCTGAACCGACGATCCTCCAGTTCTCAACCCAAGTCCCTACAGACTGAGCTACTGCTGTAATCATAAATGAATCAGGTTCTAATGTAGGAATTGATCAGTATCCATTGACAACCCAATAACATAACGTTACTTAAACCAAAAGCTATTGTGAATGGGTGACAAATCATTTGTTCTACAAGTTTAGAAAAAAAATTGCAAACCACCTCATCATGTAGCAGAGGACTGTATAAAGTATGTGTATTTAGGTATCCATTCTAGTTTTGACATGAGTGTGTTGTTGATGTTATAAAGTATTCTTCATGATGTATTGAGCACACGGCACATTCCCTTCCCGGCACATCATTTGTATTTGATCATTATTAGCAACTATTCCTTTCATTATTAGCAACTACTGCTATTTGAAAGCAATTTCTGCTGTTGCCTCTAGTGGCTGTGAATGGATTCATGTCTCCACATGGTGGCACCAGAAGACCTGAAACCAACAGACAACCTGCACTTCATGTGCCTAAACATACTGTATGAAATGATGAATAAATGAAAGTTCTGATGTTTCACTTATAGACAAGACAAAAGAATGCTATATTAGTACTTGCAACAAGTAAAATGTAAATATCTTTGCCACTGCAAAGCAACAAATGTGCTGTCACACTGATTTCTTAAAAGATCACACATGATGTCCTTTGGCGCCATTTGGTGGAGTTTTAGTTCACTACATCATTTCTCTGAAAAATCTTCTGATGTTTAAAGAAATAATTATTAATTGTAAAAAGCAACAAGTGTTGTGACATATCTTGGCAGCTCAGAAATTATAATTCAGGAATTTTGAATTTTAAACTCCATCTGTTTCATCAAAATGTTTTAAATAAGGTAGTTGAATACAATTTTAATGTTTTCTTCCGATTCTAGCTTACCATGATAACACAATCAATTAACTGTCCTGTTATATTCTTATTGTCTTTACAAAGGTAACTTATAATTTACATCTCTAAGTTTAAATGTTCTAAAGCTAATGTTGAAGAACATAAAGGAGTTTTCTTTAGGACAAAGTGCTGGATGCTCTTTGAATGTTGTCTGGCATTGTTAGCTGACAGAGTTACATTTAGTAATCTCCAAATCAAAAGAAAAAGGTGTGAGCTGAAGTTTTGGATTATTAAACTAACTGTAGTGTGTTATTTTTCTATTTGTTAATAACCCTAATTTAAAGCTTATATATATACTTTTTTTAGATTTATTTTTGGGGCTTTTTGTGCCTTTAATGGAGAGATAGGACAGTGGATAGAGTTTGAAATCAGGGAGAGAGAGAGAGAGAGGGGAATGACATGCGGGAAAGGAGCCACAGGTGGACTACAGCCTCTGTACATGAGGCGCACTAACCACAGCACCACCAGCGCCCCAAAACTTATATAGGCCTATACATTTTAACCATGACCTATAATACAATTAAAATAATATTTTTTTTAAGGTGTTTTGTGAATAAGTCATGTTCTATGGTGACAAAAGCTTGTTTCTTTAAGTCTATCCACACGGCATTTTCTTTTTATCAATTGCATTAGATATATCTTCCATCAGTTCCGTCAGTGCCTTTGGGAGGGGGGGCGTATTAGTTCTGGAGGGAAACAGATTAATGTACACTTTAATGTACAGGAATGACCTTTCCTTTTTTTTCATTTTGGAGGAAAATATATTGGTAAATGGAAAGGTTGCAGATGTATGTAACTGGATATATTTTACTTTTTAGAACTAATAATATATCAATATTAGAACAATCAGTGGACTTTTTATTTTGAAGTTTTCTGAAAAGTACTGTGTTTATCTATTTCATTCTGGAAGGCAGATGACGTCTTGAAAGTCACATCAGTCACACTGCCGTGCCACGTTTTGCTTTCTAATCGTTGGCTGCATGTTGAGCCTGTTAAGCCTTCCTGGTGGAAAGGTCAAGGGGAGAAGGAAAAACTGAGCAGACAGGATACTGAGCAGCCATTCACAACACAAGTGGAACACCACTCAAGGAGGAAGAGAAGCTCGTTTTCTATTTGTTGTCTCATTCATCATCTGGGAAAGGTAAGCAAACAGGTACTCACATTCATTTAGATTCATTTTTAAGATTTTGGAAATAGCAGAGGAACCAAAGAAACAAAAATAGATTTTACTCCTTGTTATCTTTTCTGTTGAAGGATTAATGAAAATATTTCTTCAACGTGTCCCAACATGTGTAACAAACACATGGAAAATGCAGTTTCTTTTGTTGGTAACCGCTGACCTTGTGTCTTTATTTATCAGCATGTCAAAGGCAGGGGACAGGACACCCTCAACAACTTCTGTTGATTCAGCATCAACTGATGGGTAAGTTTGTGAGTTTCCTACACTATCTTATGAAGTTTCTAGATTTGATGGATAATTCAGTATTTTAAAATGCACAGCCTTTCTTTAGTTGATCTACTGAATTTATAACCCTAGAAAAACATCCTTCCATCTGGTATAGTTCAGAATAATATAAATATATGCTGATGTATATTGAGAGTTTGAATGTTTTAAAATGTATATTCTAGGTTTTGAAAATAAAATATGTGCACTCATGTTTATTTTTTTTTCTTTTCAAATCCTATTTATTTATTTTTTATTCACTTTGTAGCAAAGAAGGTGGCTCAGTGTCTGAAACACCCAAGAAATCATCAAAGAAGTCAAAGAAGAGCACTGAGAGTATGAACAAAGTCTACACCACTGTGCTCAACAGTGTGTTTGGGGCGGTAAGTTTCTCACAGCCACATGTTGTGATGTTTATGCACTGGCCATCTGATGTGATGGTTACCTATTCATGTTTCAACTGACCTGTACTGTAACACACATTGAAAATAGTCAAAGTTACAGTTTAATGTAAGTGCGCCTTTTATTTTAAAATCTTTACCTGTAGTCCTCTCAAACACCCTTTGTGTTCATTATTGCCCTCATTTTTTATTTACAGTCAAATTGCTGAGTTTAAAACATTTTGATCATGAAACCCAAAAGGTGCTCCATAACTCTTCACTTAAAGGTGCTGTGTGTTATTCATCAAACAGCAGGCATGAGGTGGAAGTTAGTATATTTACAGTTCTGTTCCTGATCTTTCTCCAGCTGCGATCACTCAGCTTGGTGTGTCTGATGTATTAGTGGCTCATTAGTTCAGGCTTACTGCCACACTTCATTAGTGTAATCCAAAAGAAGAGCTTTGGCAAACACTCACCTATTTGAACTTTCAAATGTTTCTGTTCTCATTGTGCTGTGAAAAGCAACTGTCCTCTGATATCTTTAAAACTTTACATGTAGAATCCAACATGTTGTATTTTTGTTTCTGCAGGACAGAGAATTAGCTCAGGCTGAGTTGGATGGTAAGTGTACCTGCTACAGCTCAACATTATTACCATTGTTATAATGTTATTTTTACATCTCAGAAAGCCCACACCAAATGTAATATGAAATGTAATGAAATACAATTAAAAAGTAATTGGTTATGAAGTGAAATAGTTACAAGGGAGAGTAACTAACAGAAAATATCAGTTTCTTGCTGTTTTCTTTTGACGATAATTAGGACTGTGATGTTGATCTTACAGCTGTGATCTCTTTTTTTTACAGAGTTACAAGAGGCCTTCAAAGAGTTTGACTATGACCAAGATGGATACCTGAACTACAAGGATGTGGCTGAATGCATGAGAACTATGGGATACATGCCCACAGAGATGGAGCTGCTGGAGATAGTACAACAAATCAAAATGAGAAGTGAGCACATGAGAAATGCTTTAATATTGATTAAACACCGGAAGAAAAATAAGAGTATTCTACATTGAAAATTAAACTTGACCTTTATTTAAAGAAAAAACAATAGTTTGGGCTGTTTTTGCCACTCCATGCCCTGACCCCTGACTACTGTCTTCTTAACAGTGGGGGGGTTGATGGATTTTGAAGACTTTGTTGAACTGATGGGACCCAGGATGATGGGAGAGACTGCTCATATGCTCGGACTTAAAGAGCTCCAGTCCGCTTTTGTACAGGTCAGTCAACAAACATACACCTTTTATACCAAGAGGAAAGAACTGTCAGCACATTTATACTAATCACATAGGTCTGAAGTTGGAGTCTTTGCATCGCAGTGAATTATTTCAAATGAATAATGATAAGTAGAAACATTTCAACCAATAAAAGTGAATTTGTTAATTTGAGTCATTACTGTCATCTCGCTGAAATGAATTCTTTCAATCTCTTTTTAAAAAGTTTGATCTTGATGGGGATGGAAAGATCAACCAGGATGAGATGAAAGAGGCCATTAAGTCACTGTTGGGGGAGAAGCTAAAGAAAGGAGAACTAGAGGAAATCTTAAAGGAGCTGGACATCAACGCGGATGGAAACATCGACTTTGAAGGTCAGAATACTTCATGCACCTTCACGTCCAAATGTTTAACTGTTAAAGGATTGTTGGTCACACACAATCAGAAACATGAGTGATGACTTCTCTCTTTTTGTCTTTTCTCTCCTTTTTAGAGTTTGTGATGATGCTCTCCATTCGCTAGCTGATAACTGACAACAAGGAGAGGACATACTATCTGTTCTATTCCACATATAAAGTTGATACGACTCATTTGGTAATGTAGGTGTAGACTTAAACAATATGTGCCTATCTCTGTTATAATTGTAAATGATATTTTGAAAGATTGGAAATGATATGATTACTATGTGGTAATAATGGTTTATGCTGTTAAATACATAAACTTATTACGTTATAAAACATGTAAATAAGACTGAAATGTTTTACAATTTTAATAAAGAAATAAAAGAAAAAGTATTTTCTATTTGTGCCTTTCATTTCAAATAACATATGACAAGTTTATATTTCACAGTTTACGATGAAAACTCTTAAAGACACTTTATTTCAACAAGTGATTAAACACCACTAGTTCATCATCAATAGAAGAGAAAAAGATCAAATAAATAGAACTGAAAATCTAAGTCTGAAAAAACACTGTCAAATGCACTCATATTTCTGGAAGACATTTTTGAGGTTTGAAATGTAGTTTGTTTGCAAAGGGAGTGACCAGAAGTCCAAGCTTTAATCAACCAACTCTTTAGGGCCACCATGACTGCACTGCTGCCAGGAGAAAAACTATAAAGGTTGAGCAACAACTAAAGGCCCTTTCCAAAATACTAAACTTAACTTTGATATATATAAATGATACTATAGAGTTTGAGATACTACTGGTAAAGCAGTGATTCATTGTTATCACATCAAACTAAATGTGCACACTGTTAGAAATCTGCTGAAATTAAAACTTTGTTGTCAGGCAAACAAAAAATGTATATTCCTAAACTCCTCAAAACATTCACCATGACTTCAGGTCTTCATAGGAGGAGAAGAGATTACTGAAGCAGGAGAAGAGTAGTGAGTCTTCACTTGAATATGCAGATGTCTGTTTGTTTACAGTTTGTCACAAACCAAAGCAACTTATTTAAACAATTCTTTATATCATACAAAGGTTTCAAAGCATATAGGCTTGCCCGCTGTATGTGTATTGCCAGGATGTTTCACTAATTAACAAAATAATATTAGGATAAACAAAACTAACATCATGTATATTCTCAATAAACCTCATGTTGTTTCTTACTTCATTAGGAAGTATACCAGTCTCTAGTCACAATATGATCCTTCAAAGGGGCAATGGCAATTGAAATTCAAGTCAATTCCATTTGAATAGCAGATGTGTTCATAAAGTTCTCTAGGTCTTAACTAATTTCTCAAATCATGAAAATCTAACTTAGGAAAATTGACGACCATTACTTAATGACTCATCCTTTGATTTTTCTTCTTAAAGCAATGTTAGCTTTCACTTTTGTTAATGTTATGAAACGTCACTGAGCACATTTTATTGTTTACATTTTATCTTATCTTGTTAGAACTTATTTAGGTTCATTCAGTCATTTTTCTGCACTTTGCACGGTGCTAACATTTTTTTAAAACATGTGTGTAAGAACACGTTTTAAAATGTTATATCTGAAGCAGATCGCTCTATTCTTCAAAGTGCGTCCATGGAGCAACATCACAACTGCCAGAAGTCAAACTTTGTGATGATCTCATGTGTCTATAGCTCTTTAGTCAGCTCATCAGCAAATTCAGCCATGATGTCATGCACCCAGATGTCCCTCTCTTCCTGTGAAGTGTCCACCAGGAAGACGGTTGCCTTTCTGTCCCAGGGCTGAGGGGCCTCCTGTAAGACCTCCAGCTGGGCCACCAGGGGCTTCTTCTCCACATGGTTCCTGAAAACCATGGACGCTTCCTCTGACCACTGCCTTGACTTCACTCCTGACAAAGACACAAGTGTGAAGGTTTAGGAGTTAAGTTAAAAAGCACTATAAACTGTGTTGTGATTTCCACTCACCAGCCAGCTGAGCTGTGATTCCTTGAAATGGCAGCTGTGTAAACTCTTTGATTAACGGTCTCAGCTGGGCGCAGCCAACCAGCTCATGTTTACCGTAGTCCAGCTCGTAGACAGACACCAACCCATTGGTGAGAACTCCTTTCACCAGCACACGATGCCAGCTGTAGGGAGAAAATGTTTTTGGCGTATTGTAGATATATTTTTTTATTTCACATTTTGAATATATAAAAACATTTTGGCAAAGAAAAACTGCTTTCATTCTGTTATTGAAAATGAACTAGAGATACAATAAGATAAAACAAACACTAATGTAATAACTATTGAGAAAAATAATTTCTACAGCATTACAAAGTTGATAATGTACTAGCCCAGCACTGAATTTAAAACATTTGAAAAGAAATAACATAATAATAAGAAACTGTTGAATACTTGAATAAAGAATTATATTTTTGAATTTTACTAAAACATGGGTTTGGTTTGGAAAACTGTATTTATAATTAACAACTATCGATGATAATGCAGTATTACAACATATATATATATATATATATATTACACATTCATGACATTTCTGTTTCCTCTTTCAAACAGCTGATCACTTGACATGTGGCGCTCTTTCACTATTTAACCACACTTCCCGTCCTATCTGACACTATGTTTTGAATAAAAAAAATCATATTCTTCATCACTAAAGACAATTCATATTTGTCTTAAGACTTAAATAATCTTTTAAAATGCTTGTTTACTCCCTCGTTTATGAATTCACTTGTCATCAATTTTATTATAAGACAAATGCTTCATTTTTGGTAAAGTGGGTGTATGTCTATATTTAAATATATATATATATATAATTTTTTTTCAAAGCAGAAACAACTGGTTGATGTATTTTGATATAATATGTATTCAAACCCAGATATTTAAATTAAAATCCTTCTTGTTTTAGTGCCTGTCTCTGGGTAGATAGGGACCATGTTTTTAATGATTGCACATGATGTAATATTTATTTTGATAAAGTTATTTCCACTATACATTCAGGGTTGGATTATTGGCGGCTACAGGTGCACGAGTACTTCAGAGAAACATTTGAAAATCAAATGTTCACATGCATTGAAATAAAAGTCAACTCACTTGTTGTCCACTTTAGCAGCATATATCTGATGTTTTTCTATGTTGAGAGGTTTCTCCTCGGTTTTATTGTAGTAGAGAATCATCTCTCCCATCAACACCACCAGTTTGTACATATCTCTCCAGGGCTGCAGCACAAAGTGGCCTGGATGGCAAGCCACTGATACATACACATCCATGTTGTTTCCTGAGAAAGAAAAACACATGACATGTGGAAACAAACTGAACTGTTCTAATGAAAAACATCTGACATGTTATCATTTTAACCGGAGCAGTGGAAACAAACTGAACTGAAAAACATTTGACTTGAATGACCGTGATTTGATCTGACCTGCCGGGGGGAGCTGGAGTAATGGTGGTAGCTGGAGAAGGGATGAAGGAAATGATAGTGTCTCTGGTGGGCATGAAGTGGTCTTGTTGCCTTCGCTGACCCCTCTGGGTCCCGATAGAGCCCTCCTGAGATGAGGCTTGGTTGGAACAGAAGACGACAGTGGACTCCCATCAGATGATTCACTGGTTGTTGAAGTCTTGGAGGATACATTGGGCTTCGATATCTTGGCAGGGCTGATCATTTAAAAGAACAAATATTTAGTGTATACTTAACTTGAGTCACAAAGTGTGGAACAAATAGTTAAAAAAGAGTAGAAACCTGTGGCTTGTCAGGAAAACATCTGGTCTCTGTTTGAACAGTTCAGACTTGACCATCTGATGATTGAGGCTGCGCTCCTGCTTGTGGAAGTTCTTGTCAGTGAACAGGTGGACACATACGCACTGCTTGGTTTCATCTATCTTGGCAACCTTGGAGGAATGTCAAGAGTGGAGGTATATGAAAAGACAAATACTGAAGAGTAGAGGAGAAGACCAAGAAGAGAGTTATTACTACTGTGCAGCCTCGTTCCCCAAAGCGTCTCGAGGTGTAGGAGACATGCAGGACACCAGCCTCTGAGGAGGGGCAAAAACCTTTTGGTTTATCCCAGAATATAATTTTAATTGTAAATTTACAGCAAGATTGTCAACTTCCCCGCCCGTTTCCCTCGCCTCCGCTGACAATGTGTTTAATATAAGCAAATGTTAGCAAAATGCACGTTTTGTCAAAGGTAAGACTACGGGCAATATTTTAAAAATAATGTTTGTTTATCATCTTTAAAAGGTTATATTTGGTGTTCTCTGCACAGTCAACATTATTGTGTTTAGTTAATAGAGGGCAGCACCTCAGGTTTGGGTTAGTTGGCTGACTGAAGCCAGGTGTGTGAGCAGGCTGAGGTGAGCAGAAGCTGTCCTCTGTGTGTGTGTGTGTGTGTGTGTGTGTGTGTGTGTGTGTGTGTGTGTGTGTGTGTGAGAGAGAGGAAACTTCACAGGCTCATGACATTGGTAAGACTTGATTCATGTTTCATTGTGGTTGTTATAATAACCCTTTGTTAGATGATACATGTGGTAAAATAAGTTTAATGCTCTATAGTTACACATCGAGCACTGCACAGTCTTCATCGTTTGACTGTGCAGCTTTACATCGTATTTGTTTAGATAATTTAAAACATCGTCATAGTTAGAGGTGATAGTTTAGGGAGCTCTTGGTATTTATGTTTAAATCCTGTTGGGGTTGATTTGATAATATTGCTGGTAGTTTAGATGCATTCAAATAGTTTAATCATTGATCGTTGGTTGACAGCCTGCCATTGCCAGAAATACAATGGAAGTGGAGTTGTCCAGCGTCCTCTCCACCATAAAGTAACTTGACAATGCACTTGTCATATTCATACCTAAGGACCTTTCATTTAATAGTCAATATTAGCAGATCTGCATCATATGTGAGGTACATATCTCAAATTATTTTCAATGATGAAGATGTTGATTTGAATATAAAGAAGGTGCTCGGAGTGCAACAAAAGCATCAAAATTGAGTTTGATTACTCGACTTCCCTGGATCCCTGTCCCCCTTAGGTTAAATGTCTTCATATCCAAACATAATTCATATTTAACTCTGTTATGTAGTTTTGTGGCTTTATTAACTGCAA